TGAAAATTGAACAAATCTGCATTTATACTAAATTGCTTAGCTTCACCTGAACGATTAATGTAGCGTAAACGGATTTCCGATTATTAGTAATTTCCGATCTCATCAATAATATCAGCAATAAATATAAATAATCAAGAAAATGGTTAAGCATGATAAATATCTGATAAATAGCATTAAATGGTTCAAGATAAACCCATAAACTCTTAAATTGCAAACAATGACACTTAAAGATTCACATAATTGATTAGTAACTGCTAATGGCCACAATCAATGCATATTAATATTAAACAATTTTAAAACTCGTATTTACTCGTAAAAGCTTTTTTACTTTGATCATTTTTTTGGTCAAAGTCATTCCCTTTGTCAAGTTGATCAGGGAAAACAATAAATCTTGTTGATTTCTCAAGAGTATTGAGTTTCATGTTTTCCTCCACAATTCATGGCATTTCAGGACAATGAATCAAAAGTAAACTTAAAAGTATTCCTTAATCGAATGTTGGGAAAATCAATTGATGAAAGAAGTTGAAAAAACACAAAATGTCCATGTAAAACGTGTTGGACTGTACAACATTCAATTTACATTGCCATTTTATATTGGATTAAGGACAATTGTCATTAATGGGGAATATCATTTTACACTAGGTTAATATAAAATGAAACTGTAACAATTTTGGATATCATATTTCACATCGTAAAATCGGACAATTTAATTGTTATGTACAAAAAAAGAGATTTCAGTGATTTTATATAATCAAATCAATCTTTATTTACATTATTCACACAAACATAATTTTACAAATACTGAGAATGAGAATTGCTTTCTATTGAACTGAGCTTGTATATTTTGCCGTTTGTATTTTATTACTTTGGATTCCTCTCTGTATCCATTAATTTGACCAGTTTAATTTACTTTGGTAAATCATCCCATGGTTATTGATTATGTTAAAGGTTGATTTGTTGATGATGGAATAGTCGATTGCGTGTGTCTTTCTGTGCATAATTAATTACATATATCCATAGTTAATTAATCACTGAGTATTTGACGACGATTTTCCCCACTATCACATTCATTTTCATCGATACTCTTCATTTTCAACGGTCTTTTGTCCAATTCCTCCTTTACTTCAACAGTTTCATCAGAATGAACAGATGATTTCCTTCGTTGTTTTTGATAACCTGTTAAACATGAAAGAAAAAAAATAAGAACAAGAATTAGAATTAAAAATTTAAATTAACAAGTGAAGTAAAAGTATGAACATGAGCCAAAAATAAAGGTAAGGAAATCCACTTCAATGTAAGCAAAAAATGTAAATCAAGAGTCAAATTAAGCAACATGAATTCATCTCTCAACAGGATATATTGAAACGATAACACTGAATAAAATTATCATTACCATATTTAATACAATATCACACTCTAAAGAGTTGAACATGAAAGGGAAAAAGCACCAACAAAAGCTAAATAAGACATAAACTGTCTGAGATTTAGATAAAGTAAAAAGACATTAAATTGAAATGGTTTATGTTGAATCCAGCAATTTCAACAAGAATGATGATGATAATGGAAGGATATTTCTCCTTCTTTTCTTCCTCAGTTTTCTATTCTTCATCACTTCCATTTTCCTTTTCTTCTGGAAAAGTAATCTTCAGATATATTTGCAGTTGTATTATGAAAATAATTTTGTCAGTTACTTAGGA